TGCCAGGAACCCTCACGGGGCCGTACGCTGGAAGCGTGCACACGTGGGGGCTAAATTTAAAATCTTTGAGTTCTATGTGGACAGGGAGCATAATCACAAAATTTCAGCCTTCTAGCTTTCCTAGTTCCCAAGTTAGCAATTTTCCCACCAAAACTTTGAGGCGCTCGTACGCGGGGCCTAGACGCACTTGAGGATTGGTACCGCGGTCCTGGGGTGGCACTTGGCCGGGGAAACCACTCGCAATATTTTGGCGACGGAGCTTGCTTGGGTGCCGAGCTGAGATACCCGGACACACACAGACAGAAACACACACATACACACATGTACACGCCACACACACACACACACACACATACACACCGGGTCGTCATAGTATGTGTTTTGCATATATGCAAAAACGCATAAAAATCGACAAAACAACGCTTTTCAACTGTAGTTTCGACATCATCTGACATGGAATTCTGTAGCTGCCACTAAAGTCTCACAGAAATTTGGAAAAAACTGCGCTTGCAACTTGGGGCTCCAGTGTGTGTCTGAGCCAGCAACAGCAACACATTACAACAATCTGAGAGACAATACTGAAGAAAGGTCCCCCCGCCTTTCCTGCCTTCTCGCTCAGTCTGCGTTACTTGAGCAGTCCATTTCTGGACAGAGTCCTGATTTGTAACAATCTAAGCCCTCAATAAACTAGATAAAGCGTATCATCATCTAAAGTTTTTTGAGCAGAAACCAGCCTTTGCAAAATTCGTTTTAATTTAATGAGAGGTGTTCCAGGGAGATAGCGCTAGTTTGTTAACCGTACAGTGCTTGAGAAAGAAAAAATCGATAGCCGAACTTGCATCAAACACTGTTTGGCTGTTGTTGAAGTAATACTCTGTTCACAAGGTAATATTCGGCCCAAGAAAGGAGTTGTTTATAGAGTTGAAATTGCTATAATTCAGAAGCTGAACAACTCTCTTTGCACAAATAAAAAATTTCGGGGCTTTAATTTCCGCCTTAGGGCCTCTTTTAATTTGAGAGCAAAATGCGAGAGAACCAAAAATACCACGACGGCTCGGACTATAGCTGAAATGCTCCAGCAAACCGCGCGTAGCTATGCTATACAAATGTGTTCAATGCTTTAATGCCTTAAAGAATTATGTTAACTGTTTACATCGTTGTGGACATAATTTACAGCATTTGCGACATCTTCGGCAAGCGATTTATATGATATAATTGTATCCCCGGACTGAACGCCCGTATCATCACTAGTCCTGCAACCATTCGTTGTTTTAAAATTTGGCCGATGAACGAAACATACGTTTTCGCAGAACAAAATTGGCATTGCCGAGCCTGTTGTAACTTCAATGGGTATTTTTAGAAACATTAGCTGTTTCAGCGAGCAAACTGGTCTATAAAAGTCAAGGCCTAATGAAATATGATAAATTTCCAAAAAAAAAAAATTTCTGAATAAACGGCGGAGACGGAGGAAACAGATATCGGGAATAATGACGCCACAGCGCTCAGGCAACTGAATTACAACCACTGCAACCCCAGAAAGATCCAGCTATAGCTAATG